TTTCCTTCCTTCCTTCCTTCCTTTTCCTTCTTCTGTTTTGATGCATTTAGCATCAGTGTTTCCCAAGCTTTAGACTTGCTCATAGCATGAAGTCTCTGTCTCCAGCTCCTTCCCCCCAGGTTTCTCCTCAGGTTTCCCATTCCAGTGGGCGCCCTGGATACCCACTTCTGCCCTTTAAGGTCAGGCACATTTCAAGCTGCTGGACAAACTTAGTGAGGATTTAAGAGGCTCCACTCTACATCAGATAACACAAATACACTGGAAAACACATTATTTAGAAATACAAGAGCAACTGGAAAATAGTTTTACACAGATAGTGAAAGCATTGCAAACGTAAAAGTGCAGTACAGTTATGGTAAACTTATTTTTTCCTCTGTTTCCTGAGGAAGCACATTTCTGTCTCTCCCATGCATGGCAGGAAAACGGGAGCGGATGTTCCAGGAAGGAGTGGTATGGGAATCGCTGCTCACCCAGCAAACCGGGTGACACCTCCCCAGAACAAACGTCTGTGTCGTCCTCATCCTGCTCGTTCCTCCTGCTGCCGGTGCGCCCGGCGCCAACTCGACGCGTTCGTCACCCTCACGGCCTCATCACGTCGGGGTGGCGGCGCTTGCGGCCACGGCTCGTCTGTCTCAGCAGCAGCAGAGTCAGAGCCTCCCTCGTTAGCGACTGGCAAGCAGCTTTTCTGAGCCAGCTTGCACTTGCTGATGCGCTGGAGAACAGCATCAGCACTGGGAGAAAGCCCTGGGGCTTCTGTCTGTTGTGGTTTATTTTCTGGGCTGTAATTTACCATGTAAACTTCCAAGATGCGAGTCTGCAGCAAGCAGATCCTGGTGATGCGGCAGGGCCGTGGGCTGCCAACCAAGTGTGTCAACAAGCGAAACAAGGGATTTTCCTGCGCTCCCTCGTCTTCCCGCACAGCAGCCCTCCTCCTCTCTACCTCGTTTGTGGGCTCAGTGAGACGCTCAGCAGCTTTGAGCACCCTCCATATGGTCTGCAAGGCTTTTCCATCTCTCCTCCTGAAGGATAGGCCAATGCTGCTGAGCTCTCCTGAGGTGTCAGACAGCCCCTTGTGGCAGAGCATCCTTACGCAAGCAGGAAGCAGAGGGATAAAACCCAAAGTTTCCATCATTTCTGAGGCAAAATGCACCCAATATAATCTGACACTAATGCCACACATTCAGAGAAGCAAACTTTTCCAGGCCCAACCAGAACTGACAAATGGATTTGTTAAATCATCACTTTCAAGTTTAAATAAGCAACATATATGATGGCTGAACTACACAGGCCAGATTTCTTTACAGAAATCCCATGTCATACCTCAGAGATGAGTCTCATTGTCTCCTCACCACTCTTTTTTCTCCATGTTTGACCTTGCAAAGCAGAAAGCCTACAAAAGAGCTCAGTAACCTGCAGAAAAACTCCTGTATACATGTGTCTCACTGATGTTACCAGAGGTTATGGAAAAGCATGCATGAAATCTACAAGGAAATACATGACTTGATGGGATGAAACCTCAAAGTATGCCAGAAAAGAAAGGTGAATCAATGCTCTTTCCTTCATTACACTTGGTCATAACAGAAAATTCTGGCTTCCAGTCTTTCAGGGGCTCCTATCACAAAATCTTCACCTTCTAACCAATCTTACTGGGCAGTGTTATGCCATGCTATTTGTGGCACCGCTGCATACTCATTTATATGGGTTTCAAAAATCAAAGCCCAAGAACTAAAATTTTAGCTTACAAAAGTGGTTTCTGAATTGCCTAGTACACAGGTGACAGAATTGAAAGAGAACTGATACCTGGCTGGAAAAATAACTGCTTTGATAACAAAGCTGAAAGAGACAAAGTTTATACCAATGCTTCAGGAATTTTAATAAAATATTTCAAACATATATGCATGATTCACAGAAGAAAAAAATGCATTTTATTTTTAAGTAGTATGATTTGAGCTGCCAACAGTATGTCTTCTTTGATAATTCTAGTACACATTTATCTTCCAATATAACAAACCCGACACTGCTGAGAAAGGCGCATCCTGTTTTTATTTAAAGTAAGATTAAATTTTTTTAAATGATGATGTCTCCAAAACCTGGAGGTCTTCAATTATAAATGTGCTGCTGCAAAATGTCACCTGGGGACTGAGTTGGGCAAGCTGCTTTACAAAACATTGTAACTGAGAACCAAATTCCCTGATACATTCACAGGACAGCTAAACCTCATCTGTAATCTCTGAGCTGATCAGATTCAAGCTCGTTCTCATTGGAGCTCATTTTTCTGCATCCACTGGTACCCTTCCAGCCAGGTGCCAAATTGATCATGCACATACTGACAAAAGTGAAGATGTCCAAGGAACTAAAACCTGCAGGAAAAGGATTAGCTATTGCTATTGAGCAGATGTAGTACAAGCTCCTCATCCTCGGCCAGGGAAAGCCCAGTATCTAATGGCATAAAGGAGTCTTCCTCGTCGCTCAGTTTGGCCTTCTTTCTTTTCCCTGTTGTTTCTTCTGCCTCTCTTCTGTTACTGCTGTTTCTTCTCTTCCCTCCAATCCTCTCCTCGGGTTCACTGTGGAAACAAATCAATTACTCTTTTTAACAACTGTAGTAATCAATATCATCATGTAATCGAACAATTTAAACCAGGCAAATTTATGTCAAGAGAAAAGAAAATTACGATTCGGAAGGCTAAAGCAACAGAAACAGATGAACTCTGGATGTCGAAGTCAGAGCTGCCTTCATGCTGAGGCAGTGGGGACTATTCTGTTGTCTTAGTTGATTACAGAATATCGGGATATTGATATTAGCTTTACCCAATATTTGCTGCCTCATACAGTGACAGATGACTTGACAAAACCGATATAAGAACATGTCAGTGGACCTTGACATGCATTCAGAATCATGTCTAAAATAAATATGCAGTAAAAATAAAAATATGAGAACTGCCACTCCATAGGCAAATCCTACACTTATTAATATAGATGCAATTTTTGATTTGGATCCATCTCATTTCAAGTCATTCTTCCCCCTTCCTGCAAAATAAGTCCCTGGAAGCTGTTAACTATGTCTTGCCATGGGAGGAAGACACAAAACCCCACTCACTTTTTTTCCCCAGTGAATTCCTACTTCTCTTGCTGCTTTTTAAAACTCGGACGAACTGCCTCTTGCAGCCTTAAATCTAGCCGAAATGGCTGTGTATCTGCTTTATTACTTTGACTTCTGTCCCGCAGCCAAACCAGCAAAGAGCAAGGGAGGGCAGCAGGCACGCGAGCTCCAGGGACCTGGGTCCTGGTTCCGGCACCACCGACACCAGGAGAACTTGGGCCGCTCGGCCTGGAGCGCCTTTGCACGCCTCTGCCCTGACACAAGACAAAAATGTTTTAAGTAATCTCTTGTTTTGCCTATTAGAATAGAGTAAGTATAAAATTAATCTCTAATTTTATGTAATCTCTAAACAGATTATGCAGACCCAGCTTTCATACACCGCAAATAAGAATGGGAATTTATATCCACATCCCTCACATCAGATCGTAAGCCCCCAAACTGCCTCCTCCAAACGAGGCAGCAGAAATGAGATGGCATTTTCAGTTTTTATCCTTGGATTTCAAACAAGACAGCAGAAATAAAGAACAAATTTCAAAGACTGATTTTAGGCTTTTTGAATTAATTTTTAAATTTATATTTTCAATTAAGATTTGGCAAATGTCCCAGTAAATCTTCACAGAAAATTCATTTTTCTTCCAAAAAAATGCTTTAACAAAAGCTTTGAAAATTGCATTAATACTTGCAATAACTTAAGTGTAAGTCTAAAGTAAGTTTGGGATGTTTTTCATTGGGATATACTGATTTACTGATTTACTGATTAGAAACAGCAGTTCCTATTAGCAGCTTCTACCAAGGAGCACTGTCCTCTAGACCAACATGGTGCACGGACCCAATGCCCTACACAGATGCCAGCTTCCACTGCCCCATGGTGTCTCTCCATGACCAGGACGTGGTTGCTTGTTTCAGAACTTGCTGAAACACAGAGTGAACCACAGGGCACCTCCAAACACAGCGTTTTCCAGCTCCTCCCCAACGCCTGTGAGTATGTCCAGCAGCGCAAGGTTTCATGCAAGGTTTCTAGCCCGCTCAGAGGTTGCTCCTGCTGATGTCTGCTTGGGCAGGAGGAAAAACCATTGGGATGTCCCTCATATTCCTGCAGCCGCACCAAAACACCCTAGTTTTACCTTGTTCTTCCCCTGCCTGTGTGGAAGCAATAGCATAAAGCCACAGCTGAGGACCATGCACTGATTAATTGGTGCAAAACGGGGGCATTTTTGGTAACATGGCCTCCTGCCGCCTTGGAGCAGCCAGCGGCATGAGTGGAGCTGCCCCACATTTGCTACCAACACGTATTTATTGCTCTTCTGGGACAGGGGCTGTTATTTCTCTCTGCAGTGCTTGAGATATTTGAGAAGTATTAAAGCCATATTGGCAGTAAACGAAAACACTGCAGATGGCTGAGACGGCCTTCTGCAGGAGGGGGACATGTCGGGAAGCAGCTTCACGGGGTCCCGCACAGACCGGGGGCCGCTTTAAACATACACGGCTGAAACCTCATCAAATAAACGCATTCTCAGTGGTTGCAAAGGAGGGGGTTATTCCAGGTGTGTGGTTATTCCCGGTGCATGGACGGCCCCACACCGGCGTGAGCCCTGCCACGCGGGATGGCTCTGAGGTGAAGCGGGAGGAGCATGGGAGCAGAGGAAAGAACATGGCGGAAAAGCGGCGGAGCGAGGAAGAGAAATGGAGGCTTCTAACGAAGCACAAATGTAGAAGCAAAAAAGTATGAGGTAGAGGAAACCTGGGAGGAGGAGCAGGAGAGCATGGTGACTTGAAAGGGGAGCTGGGGAAGTTCGTTCGGGTGCTTCTCCTTTCCTGCTGGGGCAGGAAGGGTTTTCTGGGGGGATGCGACAGGAGCAGCGCTCAGACGTGTATGTGAAAGAGCAGAGCCCCGAGAGCAGCGCTGCGGGGCTGGCTGGTGCCCCACAACCACGCGAATCCCCTCCGTGGGGTGTCCGTGGGGCGGCGGCGCCTCTCCCTCGCGCGCAGCGGCAGCAGCAGCAGCGGCCGCAGCGCGGCGGCTCTGCAGCGCGGGGCGAGCGGCCGCGCGGCGGCTCCTCACACAGCCCCGCGGTGCCCGGCGGCCTCGCGGGGCTTCACCCGACGCTTATGGGAGCGGGTTTGGGGCCAAGGCCCGGCCGCGCCGCGCGGCAACGCGCTGCCCTCCTCACCGCCGCCACCCACCAGGCCGCAGCCCCAACGGCAGCCATTGGAGCCCTTCCCACAGGAACGTGCGCCAACAACCAACGAACCTACTAACAAAACACACTCGGAAAGGCCGGGAATCACTTATCCTGTGAATATTGGCGTTTTGCTAATCAAACATGTTTGCCACACACCTCCTTTCACGTAATAAATTTGAATTTGCAAGGCCATGGCAGCAATCCTAATGAAGATTAATTACTGCAGTCCCTTCCATAAAGCCCAGTGCAGCTTCCTTTTAACTTGCTGTCAGAGAGCTACAGCACACAGAAATGGTAATGAAAATATATTGTGTTGTGTTATTCCCTTTACTGGCCATTCCACTGATGTAAATCAAAACTGCTCCAAAACCAGATTTACGAAAACAATTGCAGAAAAGGGAAGATGAATCTACTTGTAATGAAATACAAGTGTAATTGTCCAAAAAGCAAAGGCAAGTCTGTCTTGGAGCTCAAGTACCACTTGAAAAAATATTCAGTGTGTTTGCCTTTCTTATTGTTGCATGGGTAGCAAAGAGCTGATGGGAAAAGGGGATCCAAACCCATAATCAACATCTTTCTTCTGCTCCAAGGTTGTATTATTTTTTAAAGGCTTGGGCAGATAGGCATAGTAGTTATAGACCAGGTGCCTGAAGCTGTAACAGTCCTTTTCTTCCCAATTCCTGCCACAGACACTGCTGAACATGGAGCAGCAGCGCTGGAGCCACCTCGGCCCACTGGGGCTTTCATTCCTTGTATCCCAGCAAACAATTCTAGCCTGTTTCATAGAATCACGGAATCCTTAAGGTTGGAAGGGACCTCTAGGGATCACCCAGTGCAACTCCCTGCTCCAGCAGAGACACCCAGAGCACGGGGCACAGGGTGGCAGCCAGGTGGCTTTGGAAGATCTCCAGAGAAGGAGACTCCACAGCCTCTCTTGGTTTCATACTAAAACCTGCCATCGTTCACTCAAATGGATCAAACTATCACTCTTCCCACCTCTCCTTCATTCGTGCACACCCTTGCTGGTCACATACTGCATCTGTTTTCTTTAGGCAACTGCTTTGGCCAGCAGGTTCACAGGAATCACAGAAGGGCCCACGTTGGCCCTGGGCCAGCGCAGCTCATCGCGCCGCCGCTCGCGCGGAGCCGCAGCACGGCTATGGTAAAGACCCACGGGGCTGAAGAAAAGCACATCTCTTTCAACAGCAATCCAAACTTTGATAAATTTTGTTTTATTTTTAAATCATCTAATTTCCGATCTGCATTTGTCCAACCACCAGCCACTGAAACAGACTGAATTTTACATATCAAATATTTTTCTAGAGCTGAAAGTCTTCTTTCTGTATAGATCCTTCTAAACAACAACCAAGGAACTTCTCAAACTTCTCTTGGATAAACTAAACAGACCCAGTTTAAAAACTACTATGAAGCACAACTTTCAGATCCTGCACATTATTTTCAGTTCTTTTTTGAGCTTTTCCCCCATTCTGCAACATTCTTTAAAAACTAAGATAACCACAAACAGATGCAGCTTCCCAGCAGGGACCTCACTTTTCTCTGCTTAGGAAGAAAAAGCTACTGGCTGCACACTAAAATTTTGCCTTTGCATGCCTTTTTTTCCCCTTCAAACCTTCCCTTTTCCTAATATGCTTCTGGAGCTTTCAATTTTCCTCTCCCTTGCTACAGAAATTACTTTTTATTCTCTATCTTTGCACATGTCAACTTACAACACAGGTCAAATTTTGTGTTCTGAAAACCAAGGAATACCCCCACCTGCTGCTGCTGCCTTGGTCACATTAGGCATACTACTTACGGCCAACATGCGGGCACCAAACACCACAGGAAAATGTTTGTTCTTCCAGGAGCTGTTGGACACTCCTCCAGCTAGTAAGACTTTTGTTAAGCAGGTTTTGTAAAACTTGTTCTGACAGTTCAAGCAGTTACATTAAGTCTTTTTCTCAAAAGTTTTGGGAAAAAAAGCACAGAATATTCTATACGCAGTAGGAAGAATAATAATGCACCTTTTCTGACTGCCACACTTCTCCCTTAAGGCAATGCAGAAAACGTGTGTCCTAACCAATTGTTCAGCTGTCAACAATACATCTAATACAAAAATATGTACTTTGTAAAGCCTAAAATACGAAAAGGTGACCCTAGAAAGATCCCTAACACTAAAGAATAGCTTGATACAATAGATAAGCCTTGAGTAAAACTAAATACGTATTTAATTATGGTATACTCACATGAAACAGCACTTACACAATCAGCAAAGTAAATATAT